CCCATCCCCATCGATCGATGAAGCAAACAACACATCGACCGATATGCAACCTCCAGAATCGACCGACGATCCAACACACCAAGATACCATGCAGCGAACTACAGAACACATCTACAGCATGCTTGGAAACCATCAGTACAGCCTTGCCAGCTTAGAAGAATGGTTGGGAAGGATCCAAACTGAAGTTTATGGTTTGAAGACTAGTATGACCAGAAGTGAGAAAGCCACAAGAAGCTTTTTAACCTCATGGTTTGAAGAAACACAAGACAAGGAGGATACTTGTTTGCCAACACGTACCTGCAACCCACCTCACTAGCCACCATAGTTCCATAGTCAAGCTCACTGACTTTAACCAAGCGCTGAGTGGGAGGCAACCCACTGTTAGGTATTTTATTTATTTATTTTATTTTATTTTACTTATTCGTTTCGTTCTTATTTGTTTTTAGGAAGATAGACACACGATCCATACCTATCGACCAATACAAACCAGTCGATATCGCTCGACACATACCTACACGCATCGATCGACGATGGCGACTCACCATCGATCGATACCCATTTCGGTCAGGTATATCGTTCACCATTTCGATATCAGTTACTTATTTAATTTTTCTTATGCTCTAACTCTGACTGATTATATACTGGGGACAGTGTATGATTTAAGTCTGGGGGAGTTGATTACTGATGCTACTTTACCTCTTTTTGATCTTATTTATAAAGTTTTCAAAATTTGGTTTTATTGAGTCAAGAAAGGGAAAAAATTTCAAAGTCTTACTTTTTATCTTACCACTCTTTAGCACCATTCTTAGATTTGTTGATTGCAGAAAGTACTATAGATGCTAAAGTGGATCACCGATCACCTATGTCAACACTTTCATGATTGTCTGGAAGAACCAAAGCTGATTTCCAACCTAACCTGACATCTACTGCTTGTCTTGGGGCTTGGTATACAAGGGATCAGAATCCTCCTGCAAGTCTAGAAGGTAAAAGTCTCAAAAATCTTTGTTTCCTTCTTTCCTTCCTTCGGCATCCCCAGAAAATAAAAGACTGATATGATTTCCTGAGAGGCGGAGGGAGAGGTACATTACCTATGACCCCACTATTCTAAATCAAAGGAATGATCAAAGCGAGGGAGAGGTACATTACCTATAACCCCACTATTCGCTTACACTTTGTCAAGAAAGATCAATAAGATGAACATTACTTGTTCATTGATATTGATATAAAAAAAAAAAAAAAGAGTTGGGATTCAGAGAAGGGGGATAAAGAAAGAAAGGGAACCAGGATGAGAATGCCTGAAACTTGTTTGAGTTGAATCCAAGTGTTCCTTGATCGATACTCCCAAGGTAAAGCCTACACCTTTATTTTTATGCATAAATGAAATCAGTAGAGGGGATAGACAGACAAGGAATGCTTAAGTTGATTGGCTAGATGTATTTGGTTGCTAAGCTAGGATATGGTATAATGTACTTCTGTAGTTGATAGATATGAGATGTGGTTTGCAACAAAGTAAGAGGTGATGATTTTAAAGTTGAGATTTTGATTGAGTCCCAGCTGTTTTTAAACTTCTTTCAAAGACTACCTTAAGGTTTGCTTGAGGACAAGCAAAAGGTTAAGTCTGGGGGAGTTCATATACCATGATTTTGACCCGTTTTTGGTAATTATTTCTATATGTTTTTATTATAATTATCTATGTTTTGGAGTCTATTAGGTATGTTTTCAAGTTCTGGAGCATTTTGTAGTAAAGTGATGATTTAGGTGCCTTATGGAGCTTAAAGAAGAGTTTTACAAGATGACTAGGAAGATCCAACATTGAGAGACACATATCGATCGATACACACCTTGTGTAATCGATCGATGACGATTCCGTAGAAGTTGAAGTCGAGATACTCCAGCGATCGATGTACGCAATGTACCATCGATCGATACAGAGCGTGATGAGCAAGATTTACTTGGCCGACTTGAAGCCCAAGTTCTCACCAAATTACAAGATTGCCACTGACAAGTTTTTAACCTAATTGTACTCCATATTTATAGTTATGCCTATGAGCCCTAGAAAACAATCATTAGATCTAATAAGAAAATTTTGTATTCTATTTCTACTTAAGCAATAAAAGTATTTTCTTTTCATCTTATTCTTTTGCTATGAATCTCTTGGCTATGTCTGAGTAGATTCATTTGTTAGATTTGGGGTTCAAATAGTTATGAGAGATTAGCCCCAACTATGGATTGTTGAATTGTTATATTCATTATCCAAATGAACCCTAATGCTTACTCTAGACTTGCTACCTAAAGTTATGATTATGGAGTGACTAATCTAATAGTCATTTTTCTGAAATCATTTGGCTATAGATTAGGCACGATGCGACAGCCGGTCTGATAGAAATTCTCGGGTGAACACAGTTTCAATCCGATCTGATGCGTTATATCGATCGACACTGCAATAGCAACATCGATCGATACTGTCGGCAATCAGATCAATGGACGAGTCTAATAGCGACAGCTATAGATTTGTCTAAGGATTGAAGTTCTCATATATTTGCAAGCAATTCGTTAAAGACATCCATAGATTTATAATCCTGATTTTCTGAATAGTAACCTTGAATTTAACTACTTTCTTTCATTGTTTTCAAACCCAAAACCTATTCTCCTTAGCAACTTACCATTGCTACTCATTTTTATTTATTGTTTTTAAAACCTTTTCAACCTAGCTCAATCACTTAGGATTATATCTTTTGTGACTCTAGTTCCTTATGGATTCGATCCCTAAGTACTACGATTGAACCTCTTATTTGAGAGAGTAAATCACTAATTGGGGTTAAAACATTTGAGTGATATCAATCAGTAACTACATAAAATAAGAAAAAAGATTTAGTCTCAAGCAATGACCAAAACTCAATGTTAAAATCTACTTAGAACTGGCAACGGCGCCAAATTTGATAAGGATTTTTAGTTCTTATACAAATCAAAGTAGTACTTAAGATTGTCAATCCAATCCTAAGTGATTCTAAGCACTGAGAATACAAGACAAAACTTAATCTAAATGCAATCAGTGGTTGCTTTATAGCTATCACGTAACAGGAACAAATACTACCGCAATATTTAAATACTTTTAAACAATTAGAGAAATAGGACTCATGGGGCTAGGCATTTGATTTCAAGAGACTAAGATCCTATCTAGAATTTTCAAGCTTACAATCAATCAAATTCCTTAAGTCAAGATCACCAAATTAGACTAGTTCTCTCCCAAGATACTAATCCCTATGTTTTAGTGTATTAAACATCAATTCCCATTGGCTTAATACAACAAAACATGCAATCAAATCAAGTCCATTAACTATCTAGCATTCCTAACATAAAATCCCTTTGGTTATTCAAGCTAGAGCCAAGTTAAGTTGATTCAGACATTTCATCAAACACTTTCAATGCAAGAGAAAATCTTAGTTCTAGATTTAGATTGATCAAGTCCAAACTAGCATTAGACACACGTGTTATGCCGCAACCATCTCCTGGCCGCGAAAGGAGCCTGCGATCGAAACGTTGAAGCCGCAGCCTCCGTATCCCACGAAGTCACCTGTGAAATATCCATGCCCGTTTCATCGCAGCTTCGCCGCGACCATCTCTATCCCGCGGTGTCAGCCCGCGGTTGAAGTCTTCACGCCACAGCCACCATTCTCCCGCGAAGTCGCCTGCGGTGAATCTCTGCCAAGTTGTTGCAGCTTCATTGCGGCCTTCTATACCCCGCGGCGCCTGCCTGCGGCCGAGCCAAAACTCCGCAGGCTACATCTGGTTTCGGTACTTGACTGCGGCCATACTTTTTCTTCAGCTTTGAACGTTTTGTGCTTCCTTAACCTTCAAATCTTGACTAGCACTTCTCCAAATCTGCAAACACACAAATGCAATGCAAATGCAACCTAAAAACCTAAATGCTATGCCTAAATGATCAATGTGTACACAAAATGAATGATAAAAACTATGATTTATGCAGCATATCACTTTTGTCTAAACTTCCTTGCAGCGCTTGAAGTCTCAGGTAATTGGATTTGTCTACCACCTACAGGAGTGACAGGAGATATCTTCTTCTGGATTGTGTGGACAATCTGGAGCTCGCGTAAATAAAGGCTGTTTAAGTCTCGACAGGACACCCCTATGGATGTCATTGCAAGAGCAATTACAAACGCACAAGAATGGACCTTAGCACAACTCCACCAGACATCGCAGGCCGTCAACAGGCTCCCTCAGAAACCGCATACACCCACGATCCCTATCGGCACAATCCTCTGTAACTCAGATGCAGCATGGAATCCAAGCATAAAAGCTTCAGGTCTGGGTTGGATCTTCACATCACAAGACTTTCCAACTAGACAGGGCTTCCAATCTCAACTGCATGTTCGATCGTCTCTCCAAGCGGAAGCTTTGGCGGTTCGTGCGGCACTCTCTCGTGCCATTCATCTTGGCTACACAAAGATCTGGCTATGCTCAGACTCCCTAGGACTTATCAAAGCCCTCGTTTTAATCACAAAACTGAAAGATCTCTACGGAATCATGTTGGATATTGAAACGCTATCAACTTCTTTCGCTTTATGTTTTCTCTCTTTTGTGCCAAGAACTCTAAATGGGCCTGCAGACCTTGTGGCAAAGTCTGCTTTATGTAACCTTAACTCTTCATGGGCCTAGGGTCTCTCTTCTATTAAAAGTTCAGTTGATCAAAAAATAAAAAAAAAAGAATAACATTTCATCAAAAGTCAATAGAGAAACATGGGAGTACAGAAACGGTCAAATTAGCTATGGGTTATAAAATTAAAGATAGTCCATTAAATAACAAACAACGCTTTCATTTTTGTGGATTGTGATGACTTCAGCCACAATCCACCCACGGACTTGAGTATCCAGATGGTTTCCTATGTAATTATAGGTTTCTTCCGATGGATGAATCGAGTCAAAGAACAAAAATTCCGACCAATTACGACACAATGGAGAAACAGCATTGCACACTAAGGTCATCTCCAAATGCCCTGTTCCACAACATCCTCTCTTCGTCTCTTTAAAGCCTGTTTTAAATAAAAAATACACATGAGTGATCATAGTTATCAATATTATTACCAGGAAACTTGCAAAACATGAACGACTAATACCGTATTTGTTAGGGTTTTGCATCATGTCCAACATAGGATCATATACATTAGCGTAAAGGATCTTGCTTCCTTTAAGAGATGCTTCGATCTTAGGTAATAGCTTTTGAAGTTTCTGATAGACAGAGTCTTTGTGCTTGTTCTATGCAGAACCTAAAGATGTTGCAGAATTTAGCAGTCATTTGAACCGGTATACAACCAATAGGAGGTAAACCTACGACCATAATGTTCCTGCACACAACACACATCGGAAAAGATTAAAAAAACTGGTTTCACTATTAGTTTAGCTATAATAAAAGTAGTGATTCTGGAAGTGACTTAGATCTTAATGCACTGAAATGTCACATTCATTTGAAACTTTACCCGGACTGAAATGTTAAGCATTTTAAGTATAAAGTCTTGGTATACATTGAAACATATCTCATCTCTAGGCTTAGTCGTTCAGTTTGGGTCGGGCGTTTCGGATTTTCAGATATTTCGGTATTGATATTTAGTACCCATCAAATAATTTTACATATCGAGTCGGGTTCGGATATTTTTACTTCGGCTTTAGTTATTTGGGGTCGGGTTCAGATATTTAGATTTTGAAAGAAAAAATTCAAATTTCTTGTACTTAAAATTTTACTATTAACTTATCTATTTTCTTAATAAATAATAGGTTGGACGATTAATAAGTTTGAAGATAAAATTTTGGAAATAGAAAGTCATTGATCTGGTTTTTTTTGAAATTTTTGGATGCAACTTTTGTTAATCCATGGAACAAGAAATTTGACATGCATTTAAAATGAATAGCAAATCACTTTTCTATAATTATATGTATATTATATGAATATTATATGATCTTGAGCTATATACAACGTCAATATAAATACAATATAAATACTTTGAATAAAATGAGAGAAGTAAACTAGGAATATAGGATTAAGTAGGTTTGGGTTAGGAATAAAGGATACGAATTCAGATATCGGGTTCAAATATTTTAAAGAAAATATGATGCATGCACTACCATCTCCAATCTATTTTAGACGAAAATTAGCAATATTTTTCTCAAGATAAATCCATTACTGATGCGTTACTACAATATATAAACCTTTAGCTCCAGAAGCTGTTGAAATTCTGTAACCAGGCTTGTAACTTGCAAGCAGTAGCGGCCCTGTGCAGAAGTAAGAGAAACATGAGCTTCCGGCCGCTACAATAATAAATACATTTTCGGCCTCAAAATTACCAAATATGACTTTAGTCTAGTGGTATTCAGATTAAAGACTATTGTTGGAAGTGCTGGGTTCAAATACCTCTTGACTGCACACATTTATTTTTGGCCTTTTTACAAATTTTGGCTTCTAACCTTCAAATTTCAGGACCGACACTGCTTGCAAGAAACAATATATATATGCCTAAGAGTCTCGTTCACGATGGTGTTTGCGAACGAGACAGAGGATCAAGCCGGAGTTGGATCGCCTGCTTGATAAGTGGCCAAAGATTGTTCATTATTACTTCTAATCATCGTCATGTAGTCTTGGTTACCTTTCTTCAGCGTCAAACTATTTGGATAAAAATAAGGTATATTTTTATGATACTACAAGAAAAAAGAAGTATGATAGTAAGAATGATAAATATGGTTTAAATGTGTTGTATTGATCAATAGAACAAGAAATACAACTTTTAGACACGGAAATCTTAGTTTTCGTTGTTGCTGCTAAAGTTGAGGTGTAGAATATTTGATCCTCTCTTCTAGGGTTTATGATTCCCTTTCATACGTTCTTTTAGTCGAAAAGTAGGTTACATTTTTCTGTCCAATTTTATCCGAAAGCATGAGGAAAACTCGGTTTGGAAACCAGAAGTCTTCTAGGCATGAGAAGAAGTATGCGTCCTTGTCTGAATAGAAAGAATAAATTCTTGAATTAGTTATCCCCAAGGCAAATCTAAAAAATATCATATTGTCAACTGTAGAAATTCTAAGTGTGGAAATAGTAATTATGCAATGGGGAAAAAATTATGGAATACCTTTCCATTTATTTAACTGGTATATCAAAAAATACAACGGAGCTCAACATAATGGAATGACAATACTACATTTTCTTATCAATGGTGAATTACATGTCAGGTAATTTTAATTATTTTTAACAATCAATCAATTTTATATACATAAAGCTATATAATTATAATATTTTAGAAAACATTGGCGCGGAAATGTACAGAGTTACATTAAAAGGTAAGAAATAAGCAACAAGTTTCTTTGATTTGAAATGAAACATTACATAAAAAGAAAAGCCTTTCATCAAAAAAAAAAAAAAAAACATTACATAAAAAAGAACAAAAGACAAAAGGAAAGAAGATACACAAGAGTAGCCAGTAAAAAGCAGAACAGGTCTTAATTCTAGAGATACTCAAACTGGCCTCGCCGGCCTTTACGGGCGTGTAGGGAATACGGGGCGAAAGAAACGCCAAAGTCAGAGTTGTTCGACAATATCAACCTCCATACTCCAGAACGAATCTCATCTAAACCGATATCCGTAGGTTTGTCAGCACTTCCAAAAACAAACTTGTAATATCCTTTGTCAGATTTCATGACGGTGAAAGTGGTGTCATCGCTTGACTCCGATCCCGACATGACTATTTCTTTGGTTGGCGATGATGAGCTATTTGCGACTCTCCAATACCCGGACTCATCGCATTCAGTACTGAATTCAAACTTGATCTTAAGCTCTGTCGGTACAGTTAGCTCCCTATCCCATGACAACTCAAAATAAACTGGAAGAGGGAGTTCTACAATTTCATCAGATATTGCTACCACTCTTTGTGGGCATGAGTAGGGATCAGATATATCGCTTCCGTACTCGGAAATCCATGCTTTTCCTTTGGGACTATGGACCTCGATTAAATACGCAGCCCTGGCCAGTACTGGATCCCCGTTAGAATCAAACACTAATTTAGAGTGAGTTTTTACCCCTGTTCGGAACTATGCTAGACGTTAGTCGGGCGCTGGGTCCGAGCCTAGCAAGTTGAAAACTGATGCGATTGATAGAGATCTTGCTAGCCAACCTGATACACCCTAAATTTATAGAGGCTAAACTGATGCGATCCTTGCCAAGGTTGTGGATGACCTGATTCGGATCTGTCCAAAACTTTCACTCCAAGGTGGTAATGGGATAATCCTAATCTTCATTAGACTCGTGTAGATCCAACAGGAGGTATATTAAACCTAGTGCTTGATGCTAACGACGATTCTTCAGAAGATAGGCGGTGAACCTAATGATGTTGCTTCGTGTAGAACCGATGAAGAGTGTACGAACTCGACACCTGATTTATTTAAACACTACACAACACGCTTTGGTGGTAGAATGATCACACAATAGCTTGCGGAATAACTCCTGATACAACGGTTTAATCTTCAGCCTCACACTAAAACGTTGAAATGTTCCAAAAGAACAAGGAGAATCACTCTAAAAAAAAGTTCTTATTCAAAATAGTCTTCTTTTATTTCTTGGATCTTATGCCTTATTTATAGAATTACAAGTTGTAGAAATCCAAAGAAAAATGTGCTAAAAACAAGACATTGAAAATAGAAACAAAGACTTAACAAAAGTTTTTGACTGAAACTTAGATTGCCTCTTGATATAGTCACGACCATGACTTTGAAAAGTGAAGAATATGCTCCTGATATGAGCCAAAACATGTCCCTTTGAGGTCTGATCAAAATCCCTCTTTTTCCTTAGCCAATATTTAATCGGTTTCTCCATTTGGCCCAAACAAGTTTGTTTCTGGATCTTTTCGGAAACCATCAAGCCCAATGCTTTCTTGGAAATTTAAAGCATGAATAATCACCTTTGGTATGATTGAATTTGTGTTTGGCCCATTGATATCACTCAAATGTTTAACCCTAAGGAGTGAATTACTCTCTCAAATAACAAGTTCAGTTGTAGTACTTAGGGATCGAATCCACAGGGAACTGAGGAACACAAAAGATGTAATCCTAAGTGATTATGCTAGGTTGATTCAGTTTAAAATAGTAAATTGCAGTTGTGAGCAATGATAAGTTGCTCAAGAGAATAGGTTTAGGTTTTGAACAATAAAATAAAGTAGTTGGATTCAAGGTTGCTATTCAGATAATCAGGATTATAATGCTACAGATGTTTTAGTAAGTTGCTTGCAAGACACATAAGAACTTCGATTCTTAGAAAGATATAATAGCAGTCGCTATATAGACTTGTCCATTGATCTAATTGCCGGCAATATCGACCGATGTTTTGACAGCGATACCGGACGATATGGGTTGCCGTCGATCGATTACTCTATAGGAGTACCGATCGATATAGCATTATATGGAATCATAACTGTGTTCACCAAGATCATAGACCGGCTCTCGCACATCCTTAGAGGATCTAAGCTTATGCCAAATGATTTCAGGATAATGATTAACAAGTTAAATTGTGGGAGTCGATTTCACCCTACTGTCAAATAAATCATAAATAAGGAAACTTCGGGAAAACCCTAAGTTTCCAGAGGAACCGGCTATCTGCGAGAACCGCACAACAAAGATTAAGATGACGAAAACACTTAGAATTAAAACGAAAATAAGCGAGATTGAAAGCAAGAAGGTTCTTATTCCGAATCTGCGTTGAACTGGTACAAAGAGAGTAGCCGAAAACGTAAGAACTAGAAAACNCGAAAACACTTAGAATTAAAACGAAAATAAGCGAGATTGAAAGCAAGAAGGTTCTTATTCCGAATCTGCGTTGAACTGGTACAAAGAGAGTAGCCGAAAACGTAAGAACTAGAAAACCCTAATTGAGACGCAGCTCGCTAACAGAAAAACGGAAAGATTCCTAAATGCTAGTTTTGGTGGTGAGAGCTCTGAATTTTGTCTGTGTGCTTCTGCCCTAGACCTCCTCTTTATATACTCCTCGCCTTGGCTATCAGATCTTTCCATTTCGCCCAGATTTGACTAAATCAGGAATTTTCCATTCTTCTCGATCCTTCCTTTTCTTCCGCGGAAATCTTCTATTTCTCTTCAAACCTTCCTTTTATCTTTAAACTTGACTTTTATTTCCTTTTGCGAGTAAACCGTCAAAACGTTGTCAAATCTGCGGGTTAGATTCCGTTAAGATCGCGAGATGGGTTTTTATCGCGTTTTAGGTCCTTTGGGCCGTTTTGCGATAAATCCGTTTTCCGACTTTTACGGGATCGTTTTCCGATCTGACCTCGTTTTTAATAATTTACTCGAGTTAATCGCAAGGTTTTGCGATTTACTCGACTTTTTATTAAAAACACGTTTTTTACGACTTACTCGACGTTTTTTTTATTAAAAAGCGCGTTTTTATGATTTTAACGAGAAATCTCGAATAAATCGTATAGTTTAGGCAATGTTTGGTGTTTCGTTTAACCGTTGCCGTTTTATACGATTTCCTCGAGTTCTTTCCGAGAAAACGAAGTTTTACGGTTTTTATCGTAAAACTCGAACGGTAAGTCGGATCGAGATGGAACGGGAGATATTTCGGCCGTGGTTCAGAATGCGACCTTGTCGAAAGATGTAAGTTTCGAATCGGGAATGCGGGAAATCGAGACGCGGAGTGTCCGGGAAGTCTCTAGTTCGCCCATCGGCGAACTAAGCCGGGCCCGGCTTAGTTCGCCGATGGGCGAACTAGTCGAGCATGTCCTAGTTCGCCCATCGGCGAACTAAGTCGGGCCGGCTTCGTTCGCCGATGGGCGAACTAGTTGCGACTAGTTCGCGTTTTACGGCTTTTTCGGTTTTTTGTGGTTTTGTAAAACGATTCTCGAGTTTTATAAAACGATCCTCGGATTTCATAAAACGACCTTCGAGCTTTATAAAACGATCTTCGAGTTTTATAAAATGATCTTCGAGTTTTATAAAACGATTTCTCGAGTTTTATAAAACGATTTCTCGAGTTTTATAAAACGATATCTCGAGTTTTATAAAACGATTTCTCGAGTTTTATAAAACGATTCTCGAGTTTTATAAAACGATTTCTCGAGTTTTATAAAACGATCTCTCGAGTTTTATAAACGATTTCTCGAGTTTTATAAAACGATTTCTCGAGTTTTATAAAACGATTTCTCGAGTTTTATAAAACGATTCTCGAGCTTTATAAAACTGTTCTTTTTATATTCTTGCGGAGAGTTTTGGCTATTAATTCCGTCGTACCGATTTTAACCCCAACAGTTAGCCCCCCAGCTCGTAAGAATCGTGAGATTCTTGCGAGTGGATTGAGCTTGTTTGGCGAGTTTGGTGGAATTAGGCGGAACTTTAATGGCCAAAAGTCCAAACGTGAATAGTAAAATTCTTCCTTATAAGTATATGGAGTAAAATTTTGAATTCTTTACTCCATCTTTTACAACTTATTCAAGAAATTTTTCTCTCCACTTTCTCTGAAGATCTTCAAACATGTTTTCAGGAAGAAAAACTCGTTCCTCGACTAGTTCAAATTTTCACAATTCTGAAGGAACGAGTTCGCAGCCTCCAGCCTNAGTATATGGAGTAAAATTTTGAATTCTTTACTCCATCTTTTACAACTTATTCAAGAAATTTTTCTCTCCACTTTCTCTGAAGATCTTCAAACATGTTTTCAGGAAGAAAAACTCGTTCCTCGACTAGTTCAAATTTTCACAATTCTGAAGGAACGAGTTCGCAGCCTCCAGCCTTGGATCCGAAAGAAGAGTATTCGTCCCCGTTGGCCGATCCGGCGGATATCGAGGCTTTTTGGGCGATTGGAGACAAGTCGGGGTCCGCTAGGCCTGGGACTTGGGTTCCAGTTTTGTCGGACGTCGATCAGATTTCCAGACGTTCGAGTTTAACGCTTTTAAACAGCGTTGATTTCATGCGTGAATTCTACCGAGTCCCAGAGACCGTTGAGTTCCGTTCTCCACTTGCCGGGGAGAGCGACGAGGATGCGCCCGACGGCTTCTTCACATGTTATAACATTTTCCTGCAACAATGCCACTTGTGGTTTCCGATTCCGGAAGTCATTGTGCATTTCCTTCACAGGCTAGGACTGTCGATTAGTCAGTTGAATCCTTCAAGTTTAAAGCAACTCGTCGGTCTTTTGACGCTGAGTTACGAGCAGGGAATCACCCTTACCGTCGATCACCTCGAGGGTTTGTTAAAACCTACAGGACAATCGCGGAGGATCACTCTAAACCCTCGTGATGAAGTCGTTACGGGCTGCTCGACGCCTTCTACCTCTTGGAAGAAGAATTTCTTCTATGTTCGTATCGACGGTGCGTCGGTCGAGGAAGGCGGCATTCCGTTCTTTACGACTACGTGGGGTCGGAGAGGTATATGACTCGAATTCGCACGAACCCCTATTATTATTATTTTTTTTAAAATGGCTTCCTGTTTTTCCGCAGTGACCAATCCTCTGCCTCCGTATCTTGCGGATCTTCCGGACATCACTACTTCTCTAAAGCGTGGTGAAGTTGGTTGGTGTAGTTTTTCTCCGCAACGCGTCCGTCAGGCGGTTGCCTTCTTCCGATCTCGACGTTTTGCGGATTATCCAATTTACGAGGAGGATCCGTTTATCGGAGAGTTCATTCCGCATGTTCGCTCGATGGGGAGTGGAAAATCTCGCTTCCGAAGGGATAAAAATCCGATAATTGAAGACGGTGACTTTGAGCGCGCGACTTCTCCTGATAATATCCTCAAGGATTTTCTTGATAGTCAGGCGGAAGATGGCTTCTGGACGAGGGCAGGCGGATCATCGACCTCCCATTTTCCGGACGTTGACCATGATCAAGTTCCAGAGNCTTTGAGCGCGCGACTTCTCCTGATAATATCCTCAAGGATTTTCTTGATAGTCAGGCGGAAGATGGCTTCTGGACGAGGGCAGGCGGATCATCGACCTCCCATTTTCCGGACGTTGACCATGATCAAGTTCCAGAGCTTACTAGGGGGTCCGAGATAGCAAACGAGGTACGTGCGTTTATTGTTTTCGTTTTCGAGCAGACATGGCTTGATTCTTCCTTTTGGTAGGGTTTCCTTATCATGAGCCGAGCCTTGGACAACCGCGCTGCTGAGGCTCGCCTTGCCGAGTTTCGAGCGGACATGGCCGAAAAGGAAGTTGCTCGTCTTCGGGCAGAGGTCGAGGCCAACCAAGCCGAAGAAGTGGTTGCGAGGGAGGTTGCTCGCGTGAGGGATGAATGTGCGACCAG